AAGCAGCAAAGAGGACCTGTCATAACTAAATACTGGTAATGCCCGTGTTTTATTACCAATCAGTAGTGTATATATGATATAATGATTAACCTCCCATATTTGCCACTTAGGGCTCAGATTGAGCATCACACTACGTAATTGCTGTTCATAGTGTATTATCATAAACTGCAATAAATATCGTACAGTAATAAAATGTTCATTAAAACTGTATGTTGTGACTCTATATAGAATCCTGTTTGATACCTTACTTCTCAACTAGTATCTATAAAGCAGTTGATATCCCATTCTATGTTGAGGCCGGATGGTGCTGAGGTCTGCAGTAGGTATATCCATTTTGTTTCTAACCTAGATACTGCTCGTCTTTTAAAGATGCCTCTCCAGTGGCTGTTAACAATGTCAATTCCCATAAATTTCAGATTATGTGGGTTTTTATTGTGTACAGTGCGAAAGTGCATAGAGACAGAATGGTCTTTGTATCCTTTTTTGATATTAGTTAGGTGTTCTCTAAGTCTGTCCCGTAAACGTCTGGTGGTTCTACCGACATATTGTTTTCCGCAACTACATTCGTGTAAATACACTACATGTGTGCTGTGGCATGTTATTACCGTTTGGACATCATAAGTTTTTCCAGTGGCATTCGATCGGAAACTCTTAATCGTTTTTTTGTGAATACCATTATGTGTACACAGCATACATCGGTTACAAGGGTAAAAGCCTTTTCGGCTCAGGTTAAAATTAAACGAAAGTTCTCTAGGTGAATTCACAATATTTGGTGCTAGCATATTTCTCAACTGGGGGGCTTTTCGGAATGTGATTTCATGATGTTCAGGTAAAATTTCTCCCAGTATGGGGTCATTTTTAAGTATAGACCAGTGTTTCTTGATGATTCTGGAGACCTTCTTATAATGGACGGAAAATTGAGTGATAAAAGGACAAACTCTTTTATTATACTGTTTGTCCTTAGGAATGAGGAGATTTTCTCTGTCTATATTTCCCACCTCTTCAATTTCTTTATGAGCCTATACCACTTATTATCGGTCTGCCTGGCGGTTTGACTGGGTTCTTATGTATCTTTGGCAGGCTATAAAAAAATGGTAACCTTGGTGCCATAGGGCACAAATAATCCTTCTCTTTTTTGTTCAGAATTCCTGTTTCATACCCTCTTTTTAAAAGACTTTTGAGCTCCTTTTTGTAGGGGATGAGAGGGTTATTTTGTAGAATATAAGTATTATCATCATTCAGGATATCATATGCCTATATGAGGTAATCTTTTTTTATCCAAGATAACCACTCCTCCACCTTTATCTGCTGATCGAATAACTAAGTCTTTCTCCTTTAATATGTTCTCTCTCATTTTTTCGGTTTCTTTAAGGCCTTTCAGATTCCAATTCTTTATTTGTAAGTTGTCTAGGTCTTTGAGGACCATACTTTTAAAGATGTTAATATGAGAGTGTGCTTGAGGGTTGAAGAGAGGCATTTTTTAAATGGTATGCTTTAATGTTCCCCTGATCATGAGCGATGGTTTGTCGTGTCAAGGGGTTATGAAGAAAATACCTTATGATGGCTAGACGTCTGGTAAATTTGTGAATATCTATGAAGGTATTAAATTTATTAAGGTTAGTGGTAGGAGCAAATTTTAGACCCTTATTTAGTAGTGTCAATTCTTTATTGGTTAACTCTTTATTACTTACATTAAAAATACCTTCCTTAGTTACGTCCTTCGTTTCTTGTCTATGGAGCCTCTTTCCTCCTCTCCTTCCTCTGTTCTTATATTTCTTTTTTGTGTTTGACCTTGTCCCAAAAATGATGATCACCCTGTCGTACCTGATGAGTTCTAGGTTGATACTCCTCATGTGTACGTCCCATATAGTAGTAATTGTAGTTGGGGTGTGGTGATTCACCATATTTGGTGCCGTAGTTGTTTTCATGTGTTGAATGGGAAAACCTCTGGTAGAATTATTTTGATGTGATTGTTATTACCCCAATGGGGATTGTTGATGCAAATAATTGTTATAGTATTGAGTTTGACTCTCATGGTTATTTTGATGTTTGTTACTGTGGCCATTATAGTAGGGTTTCCTTTGATTTTGGTTGTATGGTCTATAGTTCCTATTATTTTGAGAAGATTTATTAGTATCTCTAAGATGTGTTCTCATATCCCGGTAGCCTATGGAGGGGCTATAAGAATTGGCTAATGGTGTGAATCTATTTCTAGTGGGAATATTAGGATTCTACAAAATAACCCTCTCATCCCCTACAAAAAGGAGCTCAAAAGTCTTTTAAAAAGAGGGTATGAAACAGGAATTCTGAACAAAAAGAGAAGGATTATTTGTGCTCTATGGCACCAAGGTTACCGTTTTTTTATAGCCTGCCAAAGATACATAAGAACCCAGTCAAACCGCCAGGCAGACCGATAATAAGTGGTATAGGCTCATTGACCTCACAAATAGGACAATACATTGATTTTTTTCCTGCAACCACTAGTAGCCAACACTCCAGCCTTTCTAAAAGATACCAAACAAGTAATAATGGACCTGAAAACTATTAAGATCCAACAACCCACTTACCTTGTAACGGCCCATGTAGCTTCACTGTACAGCAACATCAAACATTCTGATGGAATGCTGGTGGCCGAATCATACTTGAATATAGCAGCAGATATCCCAATTCTACAAAAGGACTTTATACTAGACCTTCTTGATTTTGCCATGAAGCATAACTACTTTTGGTTTGGAGATAAGTATTACTTGCAGATTACGGGCGTTGCTATGGGGGCAAAGTTTGCCCCCAGTTTAGCAAATTTGTTCAGGCAAACTGGGAAGAAGAAATCATTTATTCCAGAGACTGGCCGGACCTTATGTTTTACAGACGCTATATTGATGACATCCTACTATTATGGAAAGGTGATGAATTTTCTCTTATAAAATTTTTTTAATACTCCTAATTTTAATAACCTTAATATTAAGTTGACATACGAATACAGCCATTCAGAAATCAATTTTCTGGACTTAACGCTTTTTATTGAAGATAACAACATTTTAACCAAACGTTTTTTTTTAAAAAAACAGATCGGAACGGCTTCATCCCAAAAAATAGCTGCCATCATCCAAGATGGTTGAATGGGATCCCAAAAGGACGGTTTCTGCAAATACGCAGAAATTGTAATAAATTGGAGGATTACAATGTTCAAGCTAACATACTCAAATCACGTTTTGTGTAAAAAGGGTATGACAGTTGTATCCTAGATAAAGAAATTGAAGAGGTGGGAAATATAGACAGAGAAAATCTCCTCATTCCTAAAGACAAACAGTATAATAAAAGAGTTTGTGTCAGGGCTCCCGGGTATGACCAGAGATGTGTGACTGACGCAGGGAAACGCAGACTTCAGATATGTTATAAACAATATAATTTATTAACACTAACAATACAAACATAAACGCAGTGCAATACTAAACATAACACAGTGCAAACAAACCAAAACCAACCACCCACAGATAACAGTACATACAATACAAGCGTCGTCAGGTAGGCCGGGTAAATATCAATCGGGCAGGTAGGTACAGGGGGAGCAAGCGGAGAATGGTCGGGGTCACAAGCCAGGTTCAGCAGGTAGCGGGCAGCGTGGTACAGAGGGTCAGGCAGAGGAGAATGGTCAGACAAGCCAGGGATCAGGAGCAGGAGAATGGTCAGACAAAGCCAGGGATCAGAGCAGGGTCAGCAACGAATCAGACAGGAACAGGAACAGGGAGAAGGAACAGGAAACAGGGCCCAGGAAAACCACACCAAGGCCGAGTCTGCAGGTCTGAATGTCCCTTAAATACACCAGTATAATTAGTTCCAGGTGTTTGACTGGCTGCAAGATTGAGTCTCTGATTGCTGGGAGCACCCGCTGGCCAGCCCCGGTACTGCAGCCCATAAGGCAGGCGAGTCCCACCATTGCTGGCCAGTCCATTCCTGACAGTACCCCCCCCCCTCAAGGAGCGGCCTCAGGACGCTCCAAACAGTCCTAGCTGGGTAAAATGTTCCACCGCCCGGGTCTGGTAACTGGCGGGATATCAAAGACTGGCACACCGGGCAGGACTCCGGGCAGTGGCACACCGGGCAGGACTCCGGGCAGGGGCACATCGGGCAGAGGCACATCGGGCAGAGGCACTCCGGGCAGGACTCCGGGCAGAGGCACATCGGGCTGGACTCCGGGCAGAGGCACATCGGGCAGGACTCCGGGCAGAGGCACATCGGGCTGGACTCCGGGCAGAGGCACATCAGGCTGGACTCCGGGCAGAGGCACATCGGGCTGGACTCCGGGCAGAGGCACATCGGGCTGGACTCCGGGCAGAGGCACATCGGGCTGGACTCCGGGCAGAGGCACATCGGGCTGGACTTCGGGCAGAGGCACATCGGATTACCAGGCGAAGCAGCAGGCAGCGGGCCACCAGGCGGAGCAGCAGGCACCGGGCCACCAGGCGGAGCAGCAGGCACCGGGCCACCGGGCGGAGCAGCAGGCACCGGGCCCCCGGGCGGGGCGACAGGCACCGGGCCCCCGGGCGGGGTGACAGGCATCGGGCCCCCAGGCGGAGCGGCGGGCGCCGGGCCCCCAGGAGGGGCGACAGGCATCGGGCCCCCAGGCGGGGCGACAGGCACCGGGCCCCCAGGCGGGGCGACAGGCACCGGGCCCCCGGGCGGGGCGACAGGCACCAGGCCCCCGGGCGGGACGACAGGCATCGGGCCCCCGGGCGGAGCGGCGGGCGCCGGGCCCCCACGAGGGGCAACAGGCATCGGGCCCCCAGGCGGGGCGACAGGCATCGGGCCCCCAGGTGGGGTGACAGGCATCGGGCCCCCAGGCGGGGCGACAGGCATCGGGCCCCCCCAGGCAGGGCGACAGGCATCGGGCCCCCGGGTGGAGCGGCGGGCGCCGGGCCCCCAGGAGGGGCGACAGGCATCAGGCCCCCAGGCGGGGCGACAGGCGGAGCGGCGGGCGCCGGACCCCCAGGCGGAGCGACAGGTCTCGGGCCCCCAGGCGGAGCGGCGGGCGCCGGACCCCCAGGCGGAGCGACAGGTCTCGGGCCCCCAGGCGGAGCGGCGGGCGCCGGACCTCCAGGCGGAGCGACAGGTCTCGGGCCCCCAGGCGGAGCGGCGGGCGCCGGACCCCCAGGCGGAGCGACAGGTCTCGGGCCCGCAGGCGGAGCGGCGGGCGCCGGACCCCCAGGCGGAGCGACAGGTCTCATGCCCCCCCCAGGCGGAGCGACAAGTCTCAGGCCCCCAGGCGGAGCGACAGGTCTCGGGCCCCCAGGCGGAGCGGCAGGCGCCGGACCCCCCCAGGCGGAGCGACAGGTCTCAGGCCCCCAGGCGGAGCGACAGGTCTCAGGCCCCCAGGCGGAGCGACAGGTGTCAGGCCCCCAGGCGGAGCGACAGGTGTCAGGCCCCCAGGCGGAGCAACAGGTCTCAGGCCCCCAGGCGGAGCGACAGGTCTCAGGCCCCCAGGCGGAGCGGCGGGCGCCGGACCCCCAGACGGAGCGCGGCGGGCACTGGACCCCCACGTGGAGCGACAGGTCTCGGGCCCCCAGGCGGAGCGGCGGGCACCGAGTCACCAGGCACGACAGTGGGCTCCGAGTCAACTGGCATGACCGCTGGCACTGGGTCAGACATTGGATCGTGTGGCTGGACAGCGGGCATCGGGTCACCAGGCATCAGGTCATTTGGCTTGACAGCGGGCACCGCGTCATCTGGCAAGGCAGTGGGCTCCGAGTCAACTGGTATGACCATGGGCACTGGGTCAGACATTGGATCGTCTGGCTGGACAGCGGGCATCGGGTCACCAGACATCAGGTCATTTGGCTCAACAGCGGGCACCACGTCATCTGGCAAGACAGTGGGCACCGAGTCGTCTGGCAAGACTGCGGGCACCGAGTCGTCTGGCAAGACTGCGGGCACCGAGTCGTTTGGCAAGACTGCGGGCACCGAGTCGTCTGGCGGAACAGCGGGCATCGAGTCAACTGGCGGAACAGCGGGCATCGAGTCAACTGGCGGAACAGCGGGCATCGAGTCAACTGGCAGAACAGCGGGCTTCGAGTCGTCTGGCAAGACTGCGGGCACCGAGTCGTCTGGCAAGACTGCAGGCACCGAGTCGTCTGGCAAGACTGCGGGCACCGAGTCGTCTGGCAAGACTGCGGGCACCGAGTCAACTGGCGGAACAGCGGGCACCGAGTCGTCTGGCAAGACTGCGGGCACCGAGTCAACTGGCGGAACAGCGGGCACCGAGTCGTCTGGCAAGACTGCGGGCACCGAGTCGTCTGGCGGACAGCGGGCATCGAGTCAACTGGCGGAACAGCGGGCATCGAGTCAACTGGCGGAACAGCGGGCTTCGAGTCGTCTGGCAAGACTGCGGGCACCGAGTCATCTGGCAAGACTGCAGGCACCGAGTCGTCTGGCAAGACTGCGGGCACCGAGTCGTCTGGCAAGACTGCGGGCACCGAGTCAACTGGCGGAACAGCGGGCACCGAGTCGTCTGGCAAGACTGCAGGCACCGAGTCGTCTGGCAAGACTGCGGGCACCGAGTCACCAGGTACGACAGCGGGCTCTGAGTCAATTGGCACGACAGCGGGCACCGGATCAGGTACCGGATCATCTGGATCAACAGCGGGCATCGAGTCAACTGGCCTAATAGGATCGTCAGGCTGGATCAGTTCATCATGCTGGGTAGAGGCATCAGGCTGAATGCAGGCATCCGGCTGAGTAGAGGCATCAGGCTGAGTAGAGGCATCAGGCTCAGTAGAGGCATCAGGCTGAGTAGAGGCATCAGGCTGAGTAGAGGCTTCAGGCTGAACCACAGAAGGCAGGTTCACCGGTTTGGATACTGGCAGGATGGATGTATTGGTTGGAAAGAATTTTCGCTTTTTTCTGGTTTTAACTACTGGAGCACTGCAAGTAAACGCAGGTCTGCAAACGAATGGAGCAGCTGGAGACCGAGAAGAGCTGGAGGATGGAACAGAGGAGGGAACAGTCGCTACAGAGGGCTTTTTTACAGGGTTAAAGGCAGGATAGGTGCAGCGAGTGGGAACAGGGTACTGACATGCGGTAGATAGCAGGGCAGGAGGAGCTGTTGGGAATGCAGGAATAGAGCTTTGAGGAAATAGATTAGAAGCAGGACTGGGTCTTTGTAGGCTGACTGAGGCTGGGTGCAACAAATCTGTCCATGTCTGCAGTATGGGTTGAACAAAGCTGAGCTTACACAAAGCCTGTCTGACCAATGACTGCACTGCGTTTATACAATCTCTGAGTACCTGTGGTGAACATGCAGCATAACGCTCCAGAAAGTAACCCACATCATCCTCTAATAACCACACCAGGGACTCTACCTGGTCTGCACTAAATGGCGGCAAAAATTCATCCCTGCATTCGGGGTACCAGATGAAACCAACTCCGCACAAATCTGAATCAATGGCTGCACCTCAGAGAACTCTGTGCCCTGATCTACTAGAACATGAGCGAGCCGTATACATTCTAGCAGTTCATCCCGGGGATACTCCTTCAGAGTTTGATAAGCATACTCCCTGTCATCAAACACTAGCAGATATAAATACACAACCTCATCCAGATCCATCCTTCCCATCAACAAGCCAAGATGGCTTCCCTGTGCAGCCACTTCTGGTCAGGATTGGCCTTGGTGTAATGTCAGGGCTCCCGGGTATGACCAGAGGTGTGTGACTGACGCAGGGAAATGCAGACTTCAGATATATTATAAACAATATAATTTATTAACACTAACAATACAAACATAAACGCAGTGCAATACTAAAACATAACACAGTGCAAACAAACCAAACCAACCACCCACAGATGACAGTACATACAATACAAGCGTCGTCAGGCAGGCCGGGTCAATATCAATCGGGCAGGTAGGTACAGGGGGAGCAAGCGGAGATTGGTCGGGGTCACAAGCCAGGTTCAGCAGGTAGCGGGCAGTGTGGTACAGAGGGTCAGGCAGAGGAGAATGGTCAGACAAAGCCAGGGATCAGAGCAGAGTCAGCAACGAATCAGACAGGAACAGGAACAGGGAGCAGGAACAGGAAACAGGGCCCAGGAAAACCACACCAAGGCCGAGTCTGCAGGTCTGAATGTCCCTTAAATACACCAGTATAATTAGTTCCAGGTGTTTGACTGGCTGCAAGATTGAGTCTCTGATTGCTGGGAGCACCCGCTGGCCAGCCCCGGTACTGCAGTCCATAAGGCAGGCGAGTCCCACCATTGCTGGCCAGTCCATTCCTGACAGTTTGTCCTTTTATCACTCAATTTTCTGTCCATTATAAGGCCTCCAGAATCATCAAGAAACACTGGTCTATACTTAAAAATGACCCCATACTGGGAGAAATTTTACCTGAACATCAGGAAATCACATTCCGAAAAGCCCCCCAGTTGAGAAATATGCTAGCACCAAATATTGTGAATTCACCTAGACAACTTTCGTTTAATTTTAACCTGAGCCGAAAAGGCTTTTACCCTTGTAACCGATGTATGCTGTGTACACATAATGGTATTCACAAAAAAAAAAAAATTAAGAGTTTCCGATCGAATGCCACTGGAAAAACTTATGATGTCCAAATGGTAATAACATGCCACAGCACACATGTAGTGTATTTACACAAATGTAGTTGCGGAAAACAATATGTCGGTAGAACCACCAGACGTTTACGGGACAGACTTAGAGAACACCTAACTAATATCAAAAAAGGATACAAAGACCATTCTGTCTCTATGCACTTTCGCACTGTACACAATAAAAACCCACATAATCTGAAATTTATGGGAATTGACATTGTTAACAGCCACTGGAGAGGCATCTTTAAAAGACGAGCAGTATCTAGGTTAGAAACAAAATGGATATACCTACTGCAGACCTCAGCACCATCCGGCCTCAACATAGAATGGGATATCAACTGCTTTATAGATACTAGTTGAGAAGTAAGGTATCAAACAGGATTCTATATAGAGTCATGACATACAGTTTTAATGAACATTTTATTACTGTACGATATTTATTGCCGTTTATGATAATACACTATGAACAGCAATTACGTAGTGTGATGCTAATAAATAATAATGAATAAAACACGGGCATTACCAGTATTTAGTTATGACAGGTCCTCTTTGCTGCTTGGTATTTCATTTTATTTGTTTATTAATCTCCATTTTATACTATTTTAACAGGTCTTTTCAAATTGGAGCACTTATAATATTGTATGGACTCATCTGTATTTTATTTCAATTTTATATTTTATTACTGTTTTGTAATAATTTTCTTTCTCATATCATATATGTGATTTACAAATTTTAATCTTCGGATCACAATTTTAATCCTATATTATTATGTACATTTTATGTCTTTCAAGAAGTCTTTTAATATTATGTTGTATACCATTGATTATATGTAGGGGTACACACATGCCTGGAAAGGAGATTCTGGCACTTGTAGTCTCACAAGGTTGCTAAATAAATAAACCCTCATGTTAAACAAATAGGGGATTACCTATAATGAGATCCTCACTATAGTTTCATATTTTCTCAATCACCTATTGTCAGAATCTATATTCTTCTCTTGCCCTAAAATCGGCATATTGTAAGGCTTAATGACAGCCTGACATAATATCGTTAGTATGGGAGAGAATCAGAAGTAGAGTGACTATCCATACACTCCTTCTGATTAACTCCCATGTCCTCAATGTGAAGCCATACATATATTGGACTCCAACAAAATGGCCGCCGCCGGCACGAACTGCACATGTGCGAGCGGACGCCGCAAACAAATGCGTTCTGTGCATGCGCGAACGGCGGGATCGCCAATTACCAATCAATTAAAGGCATGTGTCCCCTATATATGAATGAGCAGTCACTGAGGGGGCCAGCTTTCTTTGAGAACGTGCGTGGCACGAAACATGTCAGAAAGCTTCCCTCAGTGACTTTCCTACCCACGTGGATCTCTACTATCTGGCTAACAGGCCTTTATATCATGTGAGTTGTATTTTTACCATTTCTCCACTTTGTGAATAAAGCAATGTTGCACTTAGATATTTTTGTTTTTTTGGCTCCTTTTTTTTCTTGAGCCAATTTTCCCTAAGGAAATCGTTGGATTCTCTCCAGAGCTCTATCTCCCTCTGGTGGTCTGTGAACATATCATACTCTTTGGGATACCTGGTTTGAAGAGATCCTGGTTGCTGGCTCCCCCTGGTGGTCTTCAATCGAAACTCTGCCATACAGAAACCTTGAAATGCTGTGATAGATGTTGCCACTAGTCTGAACATCCAGACCCAGATGCTCATACCCAGATGATCTCATCATCTACATGCGCCTAACTTAGTTCTATCTGGTTAGTGCAACCTATTCTCATTTCCACACCATTGATGTCACGAATATTGTTCGTTCGCTACATGTAGATCGTCACACATCTTCACGTTTCTATTTTTGGAAATCAATTCATGAACTTATCTATGCATGGTGACTTATAGTTGTGTGCGTTATACACAATTTTACATTCATATATGCCTAATGTCATTTTGTGAGTAGTATACATATCTCTATATTTATATTCACTTTATATCATTGATAGGAGCGCTGCATGTTTGTTTTCATACATAAGTGTTATTTCAAGAGGTTTTTTGAGGTTCACCTTCTCTTGCTAGCTGCTCCACCACACAGATCTAGCGCTCGTTTCTAACAGATATTTGTACATATTAACACTTGTTAGGCACACAGTCAACCCTTTGATCGCCCTAGACTCCATCCCCTTCGCAGCCAGTGTCATTAGTACAGTGACAGTGTATGGTATTAGTACTGATCACTGTATTAGT